TAAAAAGGTTCCCCACCTCTGGTTTAGACTGTATTGTCAAGACGTATTAAAGAGCTCATTGTCTAATGACCTGATGGTCATGGCCAGGCGTTTTATAAAAAATAAAATCAATTGTTATGTGTAAAAGTAACATGTGTTGGCTTCTCGGTAACGTGTTATTTATATTGAAAGTTAGATTTATCAAGTAAAAGTAAGGTGCATTCTCAATTGTTTGAGTCACTGTATCCAGAATCGTCTGGTGATAAAAATTTTTGGTTGATCTTTGGATTACAGTAATTTGGCGACCAACTCTGCTACACCAACACTCTATTTTTTTTCGCCACCATTTTGTCTTCACGAAGTAAAGACATGTTTCTTTTCTTTTTATTTACTGAACACTTTTTCCAACAATCTACTAGCCGAATTACACTTATGCTAGAAATTTTATGGAACAAAACTGCTTAATCATGACAAATATTAACTGCAAAATTGGGAAAAAAAAACAATACCATACTCCTTGCGTTTTTTCAAATAACACATACACATTAAACCATTTACACGTCCGACTTATTTTTACTTAAAAAAACATCCCAGAATTGCACAAAATGGCATTGCGCACACTCTTCACTTTATATCCATGTACACTGCTTTTTTCTTCATAAATTAGAAAAATTTCACGAAAATACATGAAAAATTCTTCTGAATCTTTAAACCCGGTAAAAAGAACATATGAAATTACCTGATCGCGAAAAAAGTATATTACCCTTTCCAAGGATGAACATTTCCACGTATATAAAATAAATAAAATATCCAAAACTTTTACCTCTAAATCATCTATTATATTATAAATGTCACCAACGAATTCATACCGCAAACATTACAAATACTTAGTGTCAAATATTTAATTATTTCCATGCACGTTTACTTCAACTAAAACGTATATACCAAATTCCTACAAACATAAAATTCACAAAATAACTATCATTTAATTAAAATATCACTAAACCATGTACACGTCGACTTATTTTTACTTAAAAAAACATCCCAGAATTGCAAAAATGGCATTGCGCACACTCTTCACTATATCCATGTACACTGCTTTTTTTCTCATAAATTAGAAAAATTTCATGAAAAATGAAAAAAAAACTCAATATGAAACAATCGGAAAAAATACTAAAAACATAATCACAAATTGATATTAAATTAAAAAACACTACTTAAAAATAAATAAGCATACTTAAATTAATAAAATTAGTTCAATCCTATTACTTTAAACTAAATCATTGCTAATAACAATTTTCCAATAAATTAATTTATTTACTCCTTACATTTAGAACAATGCATAAAAATAATATCCTCAAAGGATTAAAAATACTAACTAACTATCTCAGAACTTCATACGGGCATGCCACTTCCCTATTTCACCACACAACACACAATGAGCTTAATACAAAAGATAAGACACGTTTTCCAATTTCCCCCTTTTCCGATAAGAAACTGTATTCGCAATAATGTCACAGACATATTTAGTCTCTCGTTTCCCTCAATAAGATATGGTAATCAGACTAAGTATTCCACATTATTACCAAGTCCAGGTAGTACTTTATCGCCCCAAAATGTCGGCGAACTACAGTTACCAAGGCAAGATCACAGCGTTTCTATCTGGGTCTGTATCTTAAAAAGGACAATTAATCAGCAACCAATTAAAAAAAAAAAAAAAAAAAAAAACTATGACTGTTCAGTATGCTGTACTAATAATTCAGTACAAAGGGATCTGAATGTACGCTTACAAGAGGACTAACAGGAAAAACTAAGCAATATCATTGAGAAATGAATTTGCAAAAAGATAGTTGTTTGTTTTCAGACAGCTCACTTTTTGCTAATTCATTTAGAAGGAGAAGGAATCTATAAAACAGGACAACAGTCAAACAAACTTATTTGAAAAAATTTCAAGCACTGATAATAATGATTTCAAAACAGAAACTTACTAAATACAATTTATTTAATAATGAGTTTGACTCGAATTTGCTTGCAGTATTATATACAAGTTTTTCGGCACTTAGAAAGTGGATGTTCGGCAGAAAAAGAGAAAATAGTTGCCAACTTTGGCACCATGAAACAAAAATCACTACTGCAACCACACGATGGTGTTAAGTTTTAAGAATGCCTATATGCAGCAGTTTTAAAAGTGTAGTTTTTTTTTTTTTTTTTTTTTTTAAACAGAGTTTATAATTTGATCATGGTTCTATGGAATCTACTAATCAATGAAAGTGACACCATTAGTTTCTTACAAGTATGCATTATATTACTGAGTAATTGTCAGTGTTTCAATTTGCACATTCTGGAGTTCATACACTAAATATCAAGCCTGTATGGAATTTTCGATATGGCAGAAGGAACACATGGATACCGAAAGGCACCATTTGAATTTGCGCTTAGTGAAGTGCATTTAGAGGCAGAAAGTTGTAACACAGGGTAAAAAACCCTCCAAAGCTACAGCCAAACATTTTCCACCCGAAATAAAAGAAAAAATAATAGTATCAAATTACTGCTGAAGTTAGTCAATCATTCTCTAACATATATATAAAGTTTTTTTCTCCCTTTCATATAGAGTAACATGAAAAAAATCACTGCATACTATTTTACAATTTCAGCTCAATAATCCAACATAACCAAACCTTGAATATTCAGAATTATTGAAATTTAAATGCACAGTGCACAACATAAAATGGTGCTTATAAATTTTCCCAGAGACTGAAGTTTAGCAAGATCTCACAAAACTTGTAACAACAATTTAGCTAAATATATGGCTCTTTGTTCAGTTAAATAATCAACAAATACAAGTTACAGATATAACATAAAAGAGGAGTAAAATAAAATCGGATCGGAAATCTTAAAATTTACGTGGAAATAACCCTTTTTTGATGAACAAGAGAAATTTCCATTACAGAAAATGCTGAAAATGGCTACCATTGACATCAATGTAATACTCTGCTCGATTTATCAAAGATGCATATATAGCAGCAATAGGATTTTCAGTATTCTGCTGCAGTTTTTCTACTGTCTGTCACCTGACCTTTCAATCTGACCCACAGGTAAAAATCACAGGAGAAGAGATCAAGCGATCAAGTTGGCAAGGAGATTGCACTGCCTTTGCTGATTATCATCTCCTTAACCAAACATTTCATGCACTCGTGACAAGGTGGTCATGGCAGTGTGCGATGTTGATCGAGATTATACAATGGCTCTTCAAAATACTGAAGGGGATTTTTCTGATGCATAATAGTGCAGGTTATGCTAGTACACATACCACAACAGGCTGAACCTGGCATCATCTGCAGAAATGAAAAACTGAGGAATCATAAAGACTACAACAATTCAAAAAAGGAACAATGCTATTCTCACCATAAGATAGCTTGGATTGACATCTCATCATTTCGTAACTGGTTTCTTTGTTTCAGTCGTCGAATGATTGCTCAGAATACATATCTCCTTATTACACCAGGCAGGTATACAGACCATAACATACTTGACCTGAACTTAACCGACATAAAGGTTAACACTTATACCTAAATACAACAAGCAGTCTTCAGCTTTTGAATCAAGGCATTATTGCAAGCAACTTGCAAGAGCTGCAATTCCCGCTGTTGAAAAGGTGACGGAAATGCCCACTTGGAGTGAGCTTGATGCGACAAAAGCTATTGTCACACTCTGGAAATCCAAGTCATCACAACACATATAAAACTGTTTTAGCAGAGCCCCGAGACATGAAGCTGCTAATCCTGTTAATGAGTTTAGACTACGGCACTTCTAGGTCACCACACAAATGGAAAAGTCTACAAGACATTGTGAATCCTGATGTTAGTTTATGAGGAGTTTGTTAATGCAAACGACGATGTTGTTTTATGTGTGCTCTATTGGAATTCCATGTATAAGCTGTTGTATGCGAGGTACAAAAAATGTCACCAACAGATAATGAGAATAATATCATTGGGCCCCTTCCTTGACACTTAGAAGTTTGCTGTAACCTACAAATGCCCTGATTTTAGAAGCCATGAGATTCGACAAAAGCTATGTCAACTCTGGAATCTAGGTCATCACAACACAATAAAACGTTTTAGCAGAGCCCGAACTGAAGCTGCTAATCTGTTAAGGTTAGACTAGGCATTCTAGGTCACCACACAAATGGAAAAGTCTACAAGACATTGTGAATCCTGGTGTTAGTTTATGAGGAGTTTGTTAATGCAAATGACGATGTTGTTTTATGTGTGCTCTAGTGGAATTCCATGTATAAGCTGTTGTATGCGAGGTACAAAAATGTCACCAACAGATAATGAGAAGAATATCATTTGGGCCACCTGCCATTGGACACTGTAGAAAGTTTTGCTGTAACCTACAAACTGACCACCGATTTTAGAAGCCATGAGTGCAGTTACCAGGTGCTTTTGTTCTGTCTGTGACAGCACAATATACAGGAATTTTTTCTCACAAAATGATCTGTGAGTGTATTTTTTCAAGTTACAGTAATTAATGTAGTACTGTAGTGCTTTCTACGATGACATACATAATACATTGTAGTAATTATGTAACTATGTACTATAAATAGACAATGTGTTAAAAAAAAATCAGAAATAAAATGTAGTTCACAGTTAACATCAGCTTTCGATTTTTCAGATTTTTGTAATGAGGGTCTACTGTATGTTATTTGATTTGGTGACATTCATTGAATAACCATGAAAGAGAAGCCCAAAACATACAAAATGTACTTACAGTGCACAGAAATGGAATTTAAAATACTGAAAATACTAAATGCAATATACATTATATTTGAGCTTTAATATCTTAAAAAATCAACTTGTACTGACAAAAGAATTAAACCAGGAAAAATTTCGGAATTTATATTCTTGCTTTCAACAATGAGATAACAAATACATAACTAAATAAAAAATATAACAGTACAATATAAAGTTATCATAAACATGATAATCCCACAATTAAAATAGTTAAAGACAGGGTCTTACCTTTTGTTGGAAGCTTCATAATCTCAGAGTTATCACATTCTTCTTTAACTATAGGAGAGGCTTTATGGAGGAAAGAAACATCAAAATAAATCACAGAAGAATGAACTTACACATGACAAATGCATTAATCAACAAATTAAAATGGTATGCGATTAGTTGAAAATTTCTCCTATGAAACACAAGCATACAAACATGTAACAATACAGAATGTTAATCTTCTCACAACTTTTACCATGGAAATACAGCTTATATAATATTCATTTAATGGGTTTCTGTCAAATTGCCTTCAAATATTCAATAAAATATTGTACAATTCCTTATTTTTCGAGGCAAACATTAAACAGAACAATATATTTATACACTTATCATCCATCATGAAACTTTATCGTAAAGAAACACTGCGTATAAACGATGTAAACAACTCACGATATGCGAAACAAAAATTCATTTTGAAAGACCCGAATTTTTAAAAAATTTAAAAAATAATATTAACCACATCGCTCTTCTGGCTGGTTTCTGCTATAGCAAATCAGATATCGTTTAGTTCATAGTTACAAAAAACAAGGAAAAATTAAAGATGCAAATTGTTTTAGAACGTTGTCCACACATCTCCGCACACCTTCATTATAATATTAAGTGTTTGACCATAAACGCTTCACTTGGAGTGTCCCAGTATTTGTAAAACATAATGTAAGCAATGGAATTCATACAATAAATTTACTTTGATTAATGCACAAAATTAACATGATCGACAGATATAATTGTGTTGCTACGAAGTATTACGATTTTAATGAAAAAAAGATATGAATACTATAAGCGGCATACTAAGGACCATCACTATGCATTCATGAACTTCAGCACTTACAAATTAAATCTTCAGTTCCAAAAAATGAAGTATACGGACTAAATTTCAGCTCCTCGACCATCGCAGTTCTCTCATCTGTCGCCATCTTGTAAGCTTCGTAGCCGTTTTTTCACGAGCTTGGCCATAGGCTTCACTTATTCTCAACCTACAACCTGACGTCAATTGTGAACTGAAAATCCCGTTCTTGGCAAAATCAGCCCTCTGGATATGACATGTAAATTTCTTTGATAAACTTTATGCAAAAAATAGTTTTGCTTCTAATTGCATGTACAGCAGCTTGAAATATAAAGACATTTTACATTGTTTCATCAATCAC